TTTTAATAGCTCCATGAATACATTTGTATGTATATAAATTCGCCAAAAGAATTAGTGGCTTAATTACATTTGTATATCAAAATATTTCAGTATGAAAATAAAAGAAAGTAATCTAAATTGCTTTTATTAAAAGGAAATTAGTTTTATATTGATCAAGCGGCAATGACTGCAGTTTTAAAGACGGCTTATATGATAAACTGATGGTGCTTGCGTGTGTGAGAGAACAGAGTTGGAAAGCGAATCAGCTTCGAGTTAGGGATTTCTGTCCTAAAAGAGGTATGATGTTTGAATACAAAAGCAATTTTTTAAAGAAGCAAAACAAACGAGATTTATGTTTTATAAACCCACACATTCACTTTTATCACATAAATCTTGCAGACTTTCTACCTGCAGGTACACACATAAATCTAATCGTCACAGAAAATTCCTGAATGAATTATTGCATCTATTTTTTTATACGATTTATTTGATTTATTATTAAAGAAGAACGTAAGTGTATTTGTGCTGCATGTATTGTTATAAAAAAAATTTGCGATTTTACGATGTAATAATAGTTGATTGAAAAATATAAAATCTTATACATACAGAGTGTCCGGAAAATCGTCCGCGAAATAATTCGGGACCCAAAAAAAGAAGGAAAAAAGGCTATACATATAAACATAGGTCCGAAAATAATCGTTTTCGAGTTATAATTACTTTTATGTTAAAAAAAAATTGTAATTTACTTTTCATAATCATAATTTATTTCATAGTGTTTTAACATAAATAACTACAGTTGGACTATTTTGGCGTTACCCAGAATGCACTACGTAGAAGCATAGCCCGCTTGGCATCCCTCTTTTTTTCATTTTTTTTATTAAAAAATTTTTTTTTGTTTTGCTCTAATTTACTCTAGTAAATCCCTTACGATTAAAATATGTAAATAAATAGATATATAAATTATATATTTAAATATTACTTAAATAACTGCATAAATACACATTAAAAACAGCGTTTTAACGCGATTGATCGAAATGCAAGATTGATATATTCGCAACGATTAAAAAACAATACAATACATGTACTAGACAAAAATATTTGTGATTGTGTTTATTGAACTTTTGTTTGTCCGTTTAAAGATGCGACATGCTTGAAAATCTCAAAGGAATCATCATGCGCATTCCCGAGATCGTTAAATATCATAAGTTGCTTGGAAGGTAACTACGAGAATATATGTGTAGGAAATAGGGGAAAAAGGGAAGAGAAAAGGGAGCGATACGCTCCTCGATCGACATGATTTTCCACACATGACTTCCGGCAATATTAAATATTCATTTGCGGGGTTATTCGCGGAGTTACTCTGCGTGTCCATGTCCATATCCATATTAATCCGTTTGTTCCACTTTTGTTAAGTGCGTTTGGGAGATTAATTTTCAATCATTATTATTATATCGATTGTCGATTACCACAACGAGTCGTAAAATTATTAATTCTACTACGCATTATGGGAGAAGAGAGAACGGATTTTATTGGCTACATTATCTTCCTAATGGAAGACATAGAAAACTTTTTAAAAACTTAGCAAGATTTTTTTATCTTTCTCTACAAAATAATTTTGTGAAATAATTTATGAGTAATTTCTTTTCTTTTTTTTTTGGCTACAAAGATTGCATCTATGTGGTTTTGTATTGGATATTATTAAAAAACATCGCTAAAATTTAATAGTCATCAGATTTTGCTGGAGCATCTAAAAATTTAACTAGATATATACATATCTAACAATAATTTTGTTGGACCATCAAAATAATTATATAAAACACTCGGTTGCTAGAACATCAAAACTTTTTGCAGCATTGGTCATCGTGCCTGAGATCCCTATCACCTTTAAATTCATAATGTTAAATTACATCCAATTTGAATTATTTTTAATTATTTCTACAGGTCCCTACTCAATATGTCGTTAATTTAACTAAAGCAATAGAGTTAAACGATTTAATTGAATAAAATGTATTGAATTTGACTCAAATTTAGTTCATTATTTACTAAGTGCATACGTTAATCTGGACGTCCGATGTAGCTTACTTTGAAACTAACAGAAATGGATTGATTTGTACTTTAACACACTTGTGTGTTAAATTGAAGGTTAAAAATAACAAAATGTTATTTAACTCACGAGATTGATTGCCATTACTCCTATGATATTTAACAGTGATATACGTAATTATTTTAATGGTTTACAAAATTATTTTCAGATTTGTATCAAGCTTTCGGTAAAATCGTTTCTTTTTTCTTGCATATTACGTATCTTGATCCAATCTATATTTCCTTAGTCACAGCTGGTTGATGACCTCCACTTTCCAATTGTCCTTCAACATATTCTTCTCGATGTCTACTGCCATACAGTCATTCATGCGCGTGCGCCGGACGTGCTGATGGAACACTTAAATATTCCAGATAAGAACGCGTTATCGCGATTACTCGCTTTAAAATGGGGGTTTCCTCGCGTGTAGGGGGTCAACCGTGATCGCCATTCATGCCACAGCGGGAGGTGCCGTCGGAACCACGTTTCTCGGCCACTTTTTGCAATCATTTCTGTGGCACATCACATAAGATAGATCGATCGACTGGTGGCCGAAACTCTCGTAAAATCAGTGGCGAATTTAAAGATTCTGTAAGTCGATAATCGCAGAATCTATAAAGAATTTTTATAGATAAAAATAATTTTTGTATTAAAAATCAAATACAACTTTTAATTTTATATAATATTTTTGAATTAAAAATGATTGATCACACACCATTATTGCCATTAAATATGTGTACTTTTTTTTATATCTTTTAAGATATAAGTATTTTATAAATATTAAAAAAATGAGAACTTGAAGAAAAATCGCAGCATTTGGAGAAATATATTTTAGAGACGATATTTTTATTAATTATTGCATTTTGAACATTATAATGGAAAATAGGACGAAATATATGAAACAATAAATTCTACATGTCCGTAAATACAAAATATATGGATATAATATAAAGAATTTAAAGATTCTACAATATATATTGTACAAAGTATATTATATTTTTCAAGAAAAGTAAGGCTAATCAGAAACGAAAAGGAAAGAGATTATAAGAGAGAGGAAATAATTTTCTTAGATTGATGATTGCTTATTTTATTATTACTTCCTGAAGTAATTTGGGAAGAAAAAGGGAAAAACAGTTTACACACACATGTCGTGTGGAGGGGGAGGGGAGGGGGGGAGGAAAGGAGGGGGGGAGCGACTTCGTCTTTATCGGCGAAATTCCGCCACTGCGCGAAGCGCGCAACCACACGGATCGGATCGATGCGCGCAAAAAGCTGACCCCCATCTGCTATTTAAAGGCGTATCCCAGATTTTACTATGTGACGAATTTTATTCTGGGATCTCCTCCCTTAACGGGCTGAATGTATGCGCCGATCCGTACACTCAGTCGTGTGCGCAATCCGTAGAAAGAATGCAATCGGGGATAATAATAAAGTCGAGACTGGGCAGAGGAGGGGGTGGCGAATGAATTATTGAGATATCGGAGAGTACGATCGTGCGGGGCGTTGTGAATCGTAATCGAACATCTGAGAACCGACATCTGGAGTTGGTGGTGGTGATGGTGGTGGTGGTGGTGGTGGTGGTGGTTCGGTGGTGGATGTTGCGCCGTCGGCTTGCAACAATCTGTGCTAATGTAACGGTTGCTAGTTTGCTACTTGAAACCGATGAACTTTGTTGCATTAGGGAATTAGTTACCGCTCTCGCGGGACGATTTCGGTGGGATTCTCGACGAGTATAACATATATATACGCGGGACGTGAAACGTACTTCAGTATCGCATGACAATGGGCCGTTTAGCTATTTTTTGGATGGTTAATTTATGATGGCGCGCCTTCCCGTCTTTATGCCGTGCGCCACGACGTTCAGATGGGGCGTCTCGATATTTATGTATTCAGATTCTAGAAATCTCCAAGACAAATCTGTGATCCATTTTGATTTTTATACATGCATATATAAGCGTACAATGTATCTCCGTTTATTTTGTATATACATGTACTGAGTATAATGTTCTGGTTGTATCGAAAAGAGGTACAATATGTACAAAAAGAACGATTCTGTTGAAGTATTCAAAAATTTAGCTAGAGACATAGATCTGAAAATAAGAAAATAGATCTTTGTTGGATCAAAATAATTACGTAGAAATCTCAAACATGATGAATGCTACAAAAAGTTTTGACGTTCTAGCAATCAATTTGAGAGTCTTACATAATTATTTTTATTGTCAATAAAATTATGTTTAGATCTGCTTCTAGCTAAATTTTTAGATACTTCAAAATGCATTCTGGTTTTGTCAATCAGAATTCTGATTATCGTAATTGAATTTCTGATTATTTCGACCATAATGTTCGATAGATTTAATTATATTATAAGTATCTATTTATTCCTTTATGATAATATCTTCCTTTTAAACCAATCAGAATTCTAATTAATAGATACACGAAAAGAACGATTTTCTGGAGTATCTAAAAATTTAGCTGGTTACAGATCTGAAAATAATCTTGTTACACTATCCAAATAATTATGTAGGATACTCAAATCGATTGCCAGCATGTCAAAACTCTTTGCAATATTGCTCATCATAGTTGAATTTCTTACATAATTATTTTGATCCAATAAAATTGAGTCCAATAAAATTATTTCTGTTATCTACCGAAATAAAATTAAATCTACCTAAATTTTTAATTATTTGAGGAAAATCGTCCTTTCCATGTGCGAACTTGTATATCTAATATACAAAGGATTATAACAGCCTGTCCAACCAGTCACTTACTATAAGAATTTTTGGTTATTGAAGGGGGCTAGGATTTCGTCATTTTAATTAGCGGCGAGATATTTCTAATATAATACAATATGTGATACGGCAATATGCTTGAAATTTCACCGAGCGTAAAATGCCCGTAGCCGTTGACAACGTATTAATGTTTCATATATTTTTGATTTCAGGTATCGTCGTCGTGTTGGCCCGCCGCCGGTGAAGCATGGAGGCTGACGGTGACGCGAAGTGAGCGGGCCCTCTCGTTCTCCCCACTCCCTCCCTTTCGAAATACGCACCTGCTGACAGACAGAAAACGAAGGCTGAACCCTCTGACTATACATATATTTAGAAAAAAGAAAAAAAACCGTAACGAATCACCGCCAAAAGCTAGTAGAATTTTAGTCAAAACGTGAGAGAGAGAGAGAGAGAGAGAGAGAGAGAGAGAGAGAGAGAGAGAGAGAGACGTGCAAAATAAATATATATATACAATATATACGTATATGTGTATATATATATATTATAGAACGAGAAAAAGAGGACGAGAGAAACGCAAGATATACATACATACTTATATAAATAAATATATAAATATATAAATAAGGAGAGGAAAGAGAGTGATTCGTGAGCGTGCGTGTAAATAAGAGCTATTTTTCGTATGAGAGCGAGAGAGACGCGCCCTGGCCGGAGAGAAGCGAGAAACGACATGTTCGAAAGCATCTTCGGACGAGGGAAGATTTAGGCTGCTTCTCTTGAAGCCGAATCGTCAAGTGGAATATAAGAGGAAGAAGAAGAAGAAGAGAAAGAAAAAGAGGACGATCACAGTGGCGGCAGAAGAGAGCGAAAGGATACGGTCGCGTCACGGTTGTTTGGACATTGTTTCGATGTTCTCCAGTCCGGATCGCCGGTGTTTCTTCCCCCTACAGAGGAATAGTCCCTCTCGCGGAGACTGATCGAGCCGATATATATATATATATATTTCGTGAAAGAAACCGCAGTGAAGGAGGCGAACAAGTGTCGAAGGTAAAGCGAAGAGTGAAAAAGAAAAAGTGGAAAAGAAGGAAGGAAGGAGAGGGAGAAAGAGAAAGAAAGAGAGCGCAAAGAGAGGAAGGAAATATAGAGAGCGATCGTGTGGCATCGAGAGGGCTGGCTCCATGTTGTGAGCGTCTGAGGACTGCCGAGGGCAGCAGCGAAAGGGCGGAGTAGGGTGCCGCCGCCGTTATGGAGTACGGTGGCGGGGGCGGTGGGACACGCGGGGGTGTCCAGCCACCCTCCGCGGGGGCGAGGGGCATCGCCGGCACCGACACTACCGACGCTGCGTGGCACAAACACGAACAAATGATGCTCATGGAGTCCAGGCACAAGCAACAATGTGAGTAAATGCACACTTTCTGAGTCATATTCTACCCTTTCCCATCCCGGCCGCGCCGACTCTCCCTTCTCTCGTTGATGATGCACGTGCGGACTCGGACGGTAACGGGAATTTTCGGAACGGATTGCTGGTTTAAGAGAGTAGGGAGGCGGGTTATTTCGCAGTCTACATTGATCGAGAGCTTCCGTCTGGAATGTATGATGCCGGAGAAAGGGATTTTGTCGATCTAGAAAAGACTTGATATCAAGAACAAGTAGTTTAGTAACTTTTAGAGAAATTTTATCCTTCGATTTAGTAACAAAAAAAAATTGCATTTGAAATTTAATTATCGATGTTATTAATAATGCCAAGGCAAAGATCGAAGAGAGACAACAATTAATCGTTACAGTAATACATATAATATCGATCTAGTAATATATTCAAGAACGCAAATTAGTGACAAATATACATACATACTTTTAAATTTGTTTAAAGTAATAATATCTTCTTATAAAACTGAATATGAAAAATTACTTTCAAAATGTTCACTTGGTTGAGATCAGAGTGCTTGATTTCTTTCGTACGGATACCATTAATTTTTCCGGAAATTCGTTTGATTAATAGCTGAGAGAAATATATTTTGCGGGAGATCAATTAAATCTCGAATATTACCGAATTTTTGTGTGTCAGGTTACCATACTTAATCAGGAATAAAAAGACGACGATTCAAAGCGCTCGAGAGAGAGAGAGAGAGAGAGAGAGAGAGAGAGAGAGAGAGAGAGA